ACCGCAGGCCGCAATGTGCTGGGTGATGCGAACACCGCAGGCCGCAATGTGCTGGGTGACGCCACGCAAAGCCAAACCGGCGTGCTGGGCGATGCGCCCATGATCGGTGACATTGGACGCATGGACGCGGCGCAGATCGGCGAGGCCGATATTGCCCGCCTGATGAACCCCTATCAACGAAATGTGATTGACGCCTCCTTGGCGCAATATGACGCCTCGCGTGATCAGGCGGCGGCGCGCATGGCGGCGGACGCGGCGGGGCGGGGCGCATTCTCGGACGGGCGCTATGGCATTGCTGAAGGCGAGTTTAACGCAAGCACGGCGCGCGACCGGGCGAGCCTTGAGGCGGGTCTGTTGTCGCAAGGATTCAACACGGCGCTGAGCGCGGCTGAGAATGACGTGGCCCGACGCCAGCAGGCGGGCGCGATGAACTTTGACGCCAATGTGCAGCGCCTTCTGGCCAATCAGGGTGTTGACAGCGCCTTTGCCCTGAACCGCTACGGCACGGAAACCCAGAACAACCAGTTCAACACGGCCAACCAGAACGCCTTCCGTGCAGACCAGTTCGCAGCGGACAACCAGCGCGACCAGTTCAACGTCAACAACCAGAACGCCTTCCGTGCAGACCAGTTCGCAGCGGACAACCAGCGCGACCAGTTCAACGTCAACAACCAGAACGTATTCGCGCGCGATCAGTTCGGGGCCGACAATGCCCTGAATATGTTCAACGCACAGCAGGGTGACACGGCGCTTGCGCGGGCGCTTCAGTCTGCCGGTCTTCTGGGCGATCTGGGCAATACGGTGAGTGCAAACGACCGGGCAAACCTTGGCCTCCTGTCCGGCCTTGGCGAGCAACAGCGCGGCGTGAACCAGGACCAGCTCAACGCAATTCCGACTTGGTTGCAGCTCATCAGCCAGCTTGAGGGCGGCATGGGATACGGCAACTACTTCGGCCAAACGGGGTCTGGCACGGAGACTTCCACCCGGACGGAAAGCGGGCCGCGCCAGTGGCTTGATACGATGTCCGCAATCGGGCAGGGCGCACAGGCCGGGGCGATCCTGTTTTCTGACGAGCGCTTGAAAGAGAACATCAGGACCGCAGGATATGACGACAAGGGCCGCCGTTGGGTGGACTACAACTACAAGGGCGACCCGACCCCGCGTCGTGGCGTGATTGCGCAGGAGATTGCGCGCAGCGACCCCGGCGCGGTTATCCCGGACGAAAGCGGCTTCCTGAAGGTCGATTACAGCAAACTCGGAGGCGTGAATGTTTAACCTTCGCAGCCAAGGCAAGGCCATGTTGAGCCCCGGCCTTTCTTCGTCTCCAATCCGTATGCCGGATGTTGATCCGGGTCTGATGCAGCAAGCGGCTCAGGCTGAGCCCCGGCGCGGCCTGTTCGGCGGAATGCGTGACCGGCTGCTTGGCCAACGCGAGGACGGGTCCAGATTCCGCGACCGCCTGATGATGGCGGGCATGGCGTTGCAGGGCGATGGACGCGGCGCGGCGGCGTATGGCGCGGGCATCCAAGAGCGTCAACGTGAGCAGCAGGAAACGCAGCGCGCCGCTGAGCAGCGCCGTCAACGCATGGAGCAGGCTGTTCGCCTTGTGCAGAATGTCGCCCCGGACAATCGCGCCCTGATGAACGCGGCCATGATGGACCCTGACGCGGTGCTTGAGCGGTATCTGGGCAATATGGAAGCAACCAACGTCTCGGCGGGCGCATCAAACTACAACCCGATGACCGGCCAGAGCTATACCGCCCCTGAGATGGCGTACAATGACGGGCAGTATGTCACCCAAACGCCAGACAGCGTGCGCGTCATAGGGCAAGACGCCCTCGCGCGCCAAGGTATTGAGGCGGACATCGACAACACGCGGGCCGGGACGGCGAACACCTATGACCAGGTGCGGTCGCGCCGTGAGGGTGATGCACTGGCACGGGCAGAGTTTGACCGCGAGGCAAACGCTGCACCGTGGGATGATGTTAACAGCCTTCGCGGCAATGCCGAAGACGACCTGAACCGCATTCGGTTCCGCGAAGTTGAGACGAGCTATCAGCGCATCCTTGACAGCGCGCAACAGCCCTCTGCGGCTGGCGATCTGGCGCTGATCTTCAACTACATGAAAATGCTTGATCCGGGTTCAACGGTGCGCGAGGGCGAGTTTGCCAACGCACAGAACGCCGGGGGTGTGAGTGCCCGTGCGCGTGCGGCCTATAACAGCATTCTGGACGGCACCCGTTTGACCGAGGAGCAGCGCAACGACTTTCTCGGTCGCGCGGGTCAGCTTTATCAAGGTCAGCGCCAGATCGCCGAGCAGCGCCTTGCGCCGTACCAGGAGCAAGCCGGGCAGCGCTTCCCTGAGCAGTTCCGGGCTTACGCTGTGCCGCAGTTGCTGGATCTGGGCGAAGACCAAGCCCCGTCCAACGGTGCGCAGGCAAGCGCAACGCCCCCGCCGCAAGTTGGGCAGGTCATTGACGGTTACATCTTCATGGGCGGCGATCCGGCCAACCCGAGCAACTATCGCCCGCAAATGTCAGGCGCACAACGCTAGGAGAATGCTATGGCCGGTCCTTGGGAACGCTATCAGACCCAGCCCCAAGAGGGGCCTTGGACGCGCTACCAGCCGCAGGCTGAGCAAGCTCCATCGCCTGAAATGGACGCCGCCGCTCAGCGTCGCGCGCGCTTTTATGAGGCTGTGCCTGAACTGAAAGGCGCTGACCTCAACAGCCTGACCCGCGAGCAGCGCGACCTCGTGTTCAATCGCACGGGGGTTTATCCGTCCAATGCCGATATGTTCGGCCAAGGCACGTCCT